ACCCACCCTCCCCCTCATTTCACCAAGGAAGAAAATCTCAAACACTAAAAACTCTTATTCTACTGTACTATTGATCACAGATTTCATGAGGAAGGAAGTTACTAAAAATAGATGCACCCTCAAAAAATACGCTGTGTACTGTGCAACTCAGAGAAGAAATACAGATTTATCTTAACTCAATTATTCCTCTAACAGACACATATGCATGTGCTGATCATGAGGATTTTCCACTTATGTCCAGTTCTGGGTGTCCTCATCTGGATCTTTAATTTAATCATGCTACTTAATTGGCCAAATGAAAATAAACTCAGATACCTAGAAAGTAGCAAGACTTCATTCAAAATCATTCTTAAAATTCTAAACTAACTCATTTTCACTACTAAAATTCCATTCAACTGATGCATAGTATTGCTGTCACTTTAGAAAGTTTATCTGCTTTTCTCCAATTATTCTATTTTTAAAGAATAATAATCTTGTTTTATCATTTGGTAATTGTTATTATATGACAATATTAAGCTACCAAAAATACTTGTTTTCTGAGCCTTATGTTCTCTCAGCATTAAAATAACCTGGAAATTGGTGAGTTTGGTTTTGGTTTTATAAATGGTCTTAACCCAGGGTCACACTTCTACTCACTGCTCTCTTTCTTCTCTTTCTCCTCAGCCACTGTAGTTCAGACAGAAAGGGCCATTCAGAACTAGATTCAGTCTCTGCACAAATTACAATTTAAGAATTTCATGGCATTATTTTAAACTACTTCTGTCCAAACCAAAAGTAGATTAAGATCACCAAAATTAGAAGAACTTTGAAACTGAAAAGTTCATTTTTTTAAAATACACAAAATGTGAAATGTCTCATATCGAAACTCAAGTCATTTAGAAAACTAAAGTTAGAATCGAAGCATGCAAGGGGAAGTAAAGAGATGGTAACCTGGGCTTAGCATACACATTTTTGTCCATCTCATGTCCTCAACAGCATTAGTATCACTGATTAAATGATTTGCAGAAGAAAGCTAAATACAGGTCTTCATCGATGGAAATCTTTCAGCTGCTTTTTGACAACCCTAAATTCCATTGCAATAATTGTGAAGTCAGGTTAGTTATCTATTTTTCAAGTTTTTCTAAATAATCAGCAATGTTATATAGACTGTTAGCCTAATACTCAAATATTTCAAGTCATATATACAATTATTTCCAATATTGAAAAACTCACAAGCAAAAACATACCAAGGTCCTGCAACTGATTGAAGACTTGTGTTCCGTAAGTTCTTTGGATGACATGTGGCCTACTCTTACTCTCCTGATAAGAAAAACATATGACATTTTCTTCTAATTAATAACATCAAGTGAAAAAGTGAGGCAGTTCTTTCAGTATTTATCTTTTTTTTTTTTTCATAAAATGCAAGACTACAGTACCAACATGGCATAGCAGTAATTTGAAACAACCTATTTACAATCCTAAGCGAATAATGGAGTCCCTCTGCTTCAGCATGTTTACTGGCCTACAAAACTGAAGTATCACAGATGTCTGAGACTACTTGAAGAGAGTCCTTTAACAGTCTTAGTGTTAGAGAACACAGGCCATTTATTCCAAGAAATCAGACAGTATATATCTAGTTGACATCTTCCTCCCACAGATGAAAAGCAACTATTACTATTTATGACAAAAAACTGTATCTAATTGAAGAAAAATGCAAGAAACTAATCAATACGCTAATCTTAAAAGATTATTTCTCTCTGTATTATTGGTGCACACAACACTTAAGAAAATACGCATTAAAAGTCTCCTTTTCAGGAGTCTCACATGTCCCAAATTATCACATTTTGGTAACTGCTCTAGAAAACAACTATTCTTTCTTCTGTTCCGTAACACCTCCTCTGCAGAGCCTGCCAAAACAAGCAAATCTTTTCAATGGGTGAGATGCTACTCTTCTCTAACTTCCATAAGACAGAAATAACACACTGAAGGAAAATAGAATCATAGAATCATAGAATGGTTAGGGTTGGAAGGGACCTTAAAGATCATCTAGTTCCAACCCCCCTGCCATGGGCAGGGACACCCTGAACTAGACCAGGTTGCTCAAAGCCTCATCCAGCCTGGCCTTGAAGACATCCAGGGATGGGGCATCCACAACATCTCTGGGCAACCTGTTCCAGTGCCTCACCACCCTCTCTGTGAAGAATTTCTTCCTGACATCTAATCTCAACCTCCCTGATTTCAATTTATACCCATTACCCCTTGTCCTATCACTACTAACTCTTGTAAAAAGTCCTCTCCCAGTACCCTTGTAGGCCCCCTTCAGATACTGGAAAGCTGCAATGAGGTCTCCTCGGAGCCTCCTCTTCTCCAGGCTGAACAAGCCCAGTTCTCACAGCCTTTCGTCATAGGAGAGGTGCTCCAGCCCTCTGGTCATCTTCGTGGCCTCCTCTGGACTCGCTCCAAGTGGTCAATATCCTTCTGATATTGAGGGCTCCACAGCTGGAAACAGGGAAACACTGCCTATTTTTGCTGGGGGAAAAGCTTTATACAGTATCTACCATAGTTAAGATTAATCAAGCTGAATACACTACATGCTAAAGGGTGTATCCGAGATACTTTTCTTGCATAGTACAATCCAAAAATGAGCCTCAAAGCTCTCTGTAGCTGTATTGTTTTGATCTTCAGTAGTTTTGAGAAAAATACTCATCTGTCTTCTTATCATTTAGAATTCCACTTGAATCTTCAGAGTTGGCAAACGGTATCTCACTTTTGTAACTAGAATTTCTGTGCTACTTCCAAGTTTTACTGAAATAACACATTGAGAGAGATATCCTGGTTTCCTTTTTCCGCCCAAGCAAGAAAACAGTTTAATCAAATTCTCCCCTGCTTACTATATGAACACCATTGTATAAATATAATCTCCATGAAATTACCGTACCTGTGCTGTCAGTTTTCAGCCTTACAACCTCTACGAATATGGGCTACATCAAAATGCATTACACTGCTTAACACATGGCATGTAATGTTGTTCCTGAGGAGACTGAGAAAATCTTTTGGGCTGTAATATTTTCCCACATCTCTATAGTTTAATTTGAACCCAATCATTGACCATCCAAATGACACTGATTTCTCTGAACGTTGATCCAGTTTCTTTCAAAGTGTCAAGAGTCAAAGATTTTGCAGGTCTTTCTTTGGACTGTAAGTTCAGCTTTACAATCACTAAAACCTATCAGTTCTGCAGCATTACAAGATGTGTCCTATATAAGTACTAGAACGAGATAAGCTTGAGAGCTGAGATACAGCATCTGGAATACATCCTGAAACACAGACCAAGCAGCACACAAACCTTAAGAATTCTCTGTTTCAGTGCTGCAGAATCATTCAGTTGAAAAATCACTCTAACCTCTGAGCCATTTAAGAAGTAGAAATCTACCTGGTTTTACTACTGTCTATGAAATTGAGTCAGTTCTACTAACAGCTGAAGTTTCAGGAACACCTGTATTATAATACTCGTACAAAAATAACAGCAAGATGTCTGTGTTAATGCCATCCAACACGCTGATGCAGCATAGTCATATATATGAATATGCTAGATCAGAACCATTTAAGCTATACAGTGACCACCGACTTAACACACACGAAGTGTAAGATACCGAGATATAATTGTCTACTTCATTAAGCTCTTTATTCTTCACCTACCATGTTTCCACAATCTGATCCAACTATTTAAAGAGGGATGAATAAATGACTTTGAGATCCCTTCTATGAATTTATAAATCCTTTAGTTCAAGTACTGGAGCAAATTGATAAACACTTTTTGACAGTCCATAATCATTTGCTATGGAAACAGTCTTATTAGTCTACTCCCAACATCTAAATGATCAACAGTAAATAGGAAAAGAACGATTAATGAAAAACATTTAGGTAATTCATACTTACACATTTCTTGCCTCAAATGCATTACACATAAGATACTTGTATTCATATGAATACATGACAGAGGTCATTCATTTATTCTAATACTTGTATTTGCTATTCCTTGAGCATTCTCTTTCCCAAATCAAATCAATTAGATAAAAATACACTTACTGCACTGTGGGTCAGATCCATCGGTTCTATCAAGTACAAGTAAGTATTATCTTCAAACATGCCACTAGAACATATAGAAAAAGAAGTGATCTTGAGGATTACATGGCAATTAATTTGAGTTCCAGGATATGATTTTTGACATGACAAAACCAAACTTAGGGCTGAAAAACTGGTCAATATTAAAATAAATTCCATATATGTTCATTACTGCCTCATGTGGCCAAAGGTAAGAATTTTTTTAAGAGATCAGGCACATTTTAGTGAACTAACACTGAATGTAAAGGCAATATACTGATAAAGCACAAAAAGTGTAAAGATTTGGCCTTGGAAAGAGGGAGTCCTAAGACACACATTAGAATATAATAGCTGAGTTGCACTTAATAGAATCTAAACCTAGTAAAGAGTAATTTCTTACATTTTTTCTTTGTAAAATCTACCAAAAAGATCAATTTTTCTATTAGCTGACAGACTTACACAGGAATACTGAGCATGCAAACTGCCAAAGTACAATTCTTCTTTATCCTTTACTGTATTAAGTCATCTGGTGAAATGCTTATTTGCACTTAGCATATTCAAAGGTTTCAGGAGACAGCATGAGAATACTTTAATCCAAATAACACTAAAAAAATGCTTAGCAGTATGGCATAGCTGGTACTAGCATTTCAAAACATCAAAAATCTTTGGCCCTGAAGAGTTTCAGTCCCTCACGTCCTATGAGTTATTATTCAATAATAATAATTAGTTAATAGCCTTGTTTGAAAAGTGAGAGTGTGCACTTACTGAAGTCCATTACATGTTGAAAGAGCAACTTTGGAATCCTTGACACCTCTGATATTTCCATGGTAGTAACAATGCTCTCCACCCTAATAAAATTTATAAACAAACACACACACCCTGATTTAATGTCTCTTGCTTAAAACCAAGCAAAAAAATGATCTAACACCATGAATTAGGTAAAATTTCAGAGAAAGTAGTGATTGCTAAAGTAAATACCAGTGGCTGGCCCTAATTCCTTATAAAAGAAAAACTGCCCAGTAAAGACTAATTTATATGCCTTCAAGCCAAAACACTGGTAATCTTTTGTTGAAATCACAGCACCTTTTTTTAAGTGTATTTCTTTGCTGTAAACTGATTCTGTAAAAATGTTATGTCTTGCAGGTTACACGCACATTGGATTGTTTCTTGATACTTTCCACGTCTGTTAAAGTTACAAGTGATACAGTGTTCATCAATCACCTGGCACGTATTTGGCTTGTATTTGGATTCTATGAATTCTTTTCTCACTAAAATTTATCAGTTAAAATGTTAGATCATTAGAATGTAGGTACCAATATCACTAATAATGAATGAGACAAAGTGAATCCAGTTTAGCAACACTAAAGCCTACACAGTTGCATTTTTACTGTACCTGTCAAAAGGGTACAAGTCAACCCTTGATTTCAACTGCAAAAAACTCCAAATACAGGGAAAACACAAATCATTCAAAAAAAAAAAAGCTAGGATTTTTGTGTTTCTCTAAGCAAGTCAGCAATGATGTTCTAGACAAGATCCTGCTTTTTGTATAAAAAATTACAATACTTAAATCACCTACAATGTGTTTAAATGCTAGAGAAAAAAAAAAAACACACACCCACAAAAACCACCAAAGCAAAAATTAGGCTAAATGCATCCAAAACCGCAATCCAAAACCTCAGTTCTCAAAGGCCCTAATGATGTGAAGGGAGACCCCCTGCTGAATGCTGCAATGCAAGACTGAACAGTCAACTGATGCAGGGATTAGGCTGACTACAATTAGTGCAAAATGTGCTAACAAATGGGCATGCAGTGAAGGTCTGTGTACAGTCTCCCACTTCTCCACAAGAACATAAGGGAAGTTGGAGTATGTGTACAGGACAAAGCAGGAGACCAAAATACCACAGAGAAGAATTTGTGTATCCTTAAAATGTTAAAGAATCTAAAGCTCTGATCCAGAAAAGCCTTGCTCAGATGCCAACTAAACTGCAATGAATGCTACACACTTTCCCCTGAACTAAAAGTGCAGGTTTCCTGGACCTACCTGGTTTTCATCACAGAATGGACCAAGTTGAGCTCTCCCCTCCTGAGTGCCAAGACGAAGCCTCACAAAACAGAGTTGCAGTGGCTTTCTTTCCAAAACATTGACCATTACATGCCAAGGCCCCTCTCTGGCTAGTAACTACCGCACTCAGCTCAGGAGGAATTTCCCAGGTCCCCTTGAGGAAAGTCAACTCCCACCTTCTCAAAGCGTGCTCCATCTCCATACTGGCTACTTTGTGTCAGAGCACTCTACATAAATCAAGCTAAAGCAGTCCCATTTTGTAGGAAACACAAAGAGGTCAGAAAGAAGGAGCATTCTGTACCCCAGGGGCTAGGAAACTTCGGCGAAGAGGTCTTAAAAGCAAACTACAATAAATAAATTATTCAGATGAGAATTGTTTTGTCAAAGCATCATCTACTCACAGACAAGAATTACTAGTTGTAAAATAATTTCATTAACATCTTTTCTTTCTGTAGGTGCACAAGTAGTCATTTTTCCCTGTATGTCCTAGTTTTCTTCAGTGTACTAAATTTGCGTGATCTAATTTCTCCATGTAATCAAAGTAGAGTTCTACTACACTATGAAGAGTTTCATATTATTTGATTGTAAATAGCTAAATATGTATAAAAACCCTAAACTTCTAAGCATATTTTTAGGATTACATACTATAGGCAGCCACATGGCAAATTATTAAATCTTTATCTCTATTCTGACACAGAAATTTAATCTATCCTTATTGCTGGTTAGCAGAATTACTAATCCCTAAAATTCCATAAATCACTGAGGAATAAACTGATTAGACTGTTAGAGGCTTATGGAACTGCTTATGTTGACTGAGGGTAAAATAAACTGGCTTCATAGGAATGGTTCAACTGAGTAAACAGGAAGAGTATATTAATTTTCTATCAACAGAAACAAAGCATCAAGAGCAATAGACTGTTCAAACTATGAATGTTTGGAAAGAAATCAAGAATCATTACTTTGACTTTCTAAAGCATTACTTTGACTTTTTTAAAGAAAAAAGGACTAGTGAGTTTAAAAGCTGATAACCAATTCTGCTGCTACATGTCAGGGAAGCTAAAATGAGGAAAACTGAGTGATACTAATTTACCTCATTTAAGTAGTTGGTTTTCAATGTCTATTAACAATAAACCCAATAACCTAAACTAAAAGTAAAAAGGATTCTCAAAAAGTTTATTAAAAACCCTTAAGTGTGGTTGTCTCACACATTATTTGAAAAACGTACCATTCATCATGAAAATATTCTTAATTCTGGCGTCATGTCATCTGAATTCCAACAAGCATACTGGACCCATTCCTCTGCAATTATTATAACTCAAAGAAGTACCAAAAATGTAAATGCTCTTTGAACATACACAGCATTATTTCCATTTTGCTTCTTGTTTAATGGGTTATTCAGATTCTGAATGAAATTCCTAACAGACTATTATGCATAACTAAATCAAAGTACTACACAGAAAGCAACCACTACACATTTACCCCCCTTCCATCAGTGAGAAAGTATAAGCCATGCTTTTTAACAACTAAATCATATCTTTCTCACATGTTTTAAAAGACAGTCATCCAAGTAATTAATTTTCAATTCTCAGATACTGCAGAAGACCAGGATACAGTCCTTATTTGATCTCCTACATAAATTGTGTGTATATTTTCTGAATGTATAATGAAGCCTTTTGCAGACTAATACGACCTCAGGAGTTCTATTATTGTTACTAAAAAAATTAATTCAGAAAACATCCCCTAGGAAGTTTGGATCAAGTTACTGCAACATTCAAAGGTGGCCCGTTTGCTGAGTCTAAACTTCTAATATAATTTTCCAGCCAGATTCATGATTCAGCAACCGCAGTGCTCAATGCTAGTGCTGCAGCTGACAATTGCATGAGCTTGTCCAAATGCCAGAGGGAATTGTTTTCTTGCATCATTTAGAACTCTGCAGAATAGGCAAAACCACCAAATCTTAATGAAACAACTTCTTTAATATGTTACATGAAACTATTTTTCTTCTTCAGTGCAAGAACACAAAACAGTATATTGCAATAATTTTATTGCCATGTAACTGTTTCATTTTGCCCTAATCTGTGATATATTGTTTTATTTGAGATCTCTAACAAAGGGCAAAACAATAAACTAGACATCTAATACTTGGACAAACAACAGTCCCAACTTGTTGAAGGCATAAATGCAACCTGAATGCTTGCTTTCCTCCACCCTAAATATATATTTCACATGTAATAAGCTCACAACAAATATCCTAGCATTCATATAAAATATGAAGTCGTTCCCTGAAAATATAGTTTATAAACTTCCTAGGAACCTACCAATCCTCATTTCGTTACTGCAACAAAAAAATCTTATCTGGTTTCCTTAGGGAGGGCTGAACTATCTTGCTTAATTTTAAACTCTGTCTTTGGATCAACAGTCTAAGGCACTGAATTAAATTTGAGAGCTAATTTGACAAACATAATTAAGTGGTTTTGTAATAACTGAAACCTTAACCTCTGAATTTGTCTTTCATTTTCTGTTTCACAACTGTGTAATTCTTGCAAAGAAAAGTCACTGCAAGTTTTTTTTGTTTATTTGAATGTCTTACATTACCATTATCCCTTCCCCTTGCACTTTGTGCTAAGGACATGTCAATAATTAATGAAGACTATACTGATGATGGCTTCAACCCCTCCACTCCTACATTTCACAAGATGTAATTGTTCTGGCAGTATGTGGATCACCTTCACTACTACCACCTACCACTGCCTACCCTCCACCCCACACACAGCTTGCCTATTTTTGTACAATTCTTCTTGCATTATTGAAGTATCCTTACAAGATCAGAGTCAGCTTGTATGTGTGGGAAAAGCCTTCTGGTGTTTTAAAAAGTCTTGCAAAACTTATTCTCTTCTTTTTAACCTCTTAATGGCACGTTCCTTTAGAAAAACAATTCTGACACATTTTAAGAGCACAATACCTTAGAAAACTTCGGTTTTCCATCTTCATAGTAAATCTCCACATAATTGGACGATAACAAGTCACTGTCAAAGAAAGAAAAAAAAAAAAACCAAGATGAGAAAAATTTGAGTATTCCTTCCACTGCTATGTCTGGATTTGGGAGTTTTTTGTTATTATTGTCAAATAGTTTTTTCTTTCCTTGTAACAAGCAGCTTGTGTCCAGTAAATGGTTTGCTGGTGTACTGGAAGTCAAAGTTTGTTACAGAAAGGGAAATTTCTTTCTACAATCTAGTCCCCTATATTTTAACTTTACAATTAGAATATCAACCTTTTAAATATTAAAAAAAATAAATTAAAAAAAAATCCCAGGCTTTATAACTTTCTTTGCTGCCGGTAACTGGTACTGACAAAATGTATGTTTAGTTCATTATTGTTTTCAAATAAGATTTCTATTTTATCAAAAGTTAAACAGTGTACATGTAAGGCTGAATGAATACATACATGATTGTCCTAAAGACAAGAATGTGTATTTTATTTATACCTCACTTTCACAATTGCAAAGACTCAGTTTTTTCCAAAACCAGTAATGTTCTGGGAGGGGGGGAAAGCCAGCCCTCCATATCACCCCTTTTCTTTCACTTTTTGTTCTCAGATTCTTTTCTTGCTCTTATTTTTCCTCTTAAATCTGTCAAGACAAATTTCTGAAGCATAAAAATTCCCCACACTGTATAATTTACAGTTCAAATTTCTAGGGTTTTTTGTTTGTTTGTGTTTTATTGGTGTTTGGTTGGGGTTTTTTGTTTGTTTTTTAAGTAAGATTAGCTAGCCGGTACATATCTTGGGATAACTTCAATGCCCCATTCACCCCTCACAGCAACCCAGGGAGAGCAGAAGAGTTAACTGTGTTAACTGGCCTCATCACATATGCAAGATGAGCATTTTACCTAATGTGATCCAGAATTCTCAGCATTTCTCAAGTCCCTAAGAGCCTACGCCTTTCCAAATATAGAAATCATTAAAAGGTCTGATAGTGGTACATATATCAAAACAAAAATATTGTTGCTATGAATAAAAACCATTATCATTATAGAAGCCTGGTTTGACAAAATAGCTCTGATGGGAATTCACAACTAACAACAACTTACGATAATGGGTATCTCAAACTCAGATTACACTATTAGCAATCCTGATAACACTAACTCTGGGACTACTGGCTCATAAAATCAATTCTTCATGGATATTTATCAGGCACTACGCTTATCAGAGAAGAACCTGCAGAAGTCAGTTACCAGTGGTTCTCTTAAAAGTCTTTTCATGGAACTGAGAGACCACATTATGGGCACTCTGTGCCTGCAAAACCAACGCTAATAGCCATGAATAATTACTGAAGTCTCACCAGTTGTCTTAACCTTCATTTTGATAGCAATATTTAATAGATATATATTTTAAGGTGCAGATTTAAAAATAAATTCAGTTGCATAAAATAATTTTAACTTTCTCTGCATATCATAGTAAGCTATAAATTTTCTGCAAGAGAATGTAAATGTTTTAGAAATAGTGTAAGCACTTGACTAGAATGCAACATTCAATGTGGCAAGGTTTGAAGCTTTTAAAGAGGATTATATATATAAAGCAATTAAACTTTACAGGGCTCATAATGTCCTTTTCTTCTTTGCATTTTTCATACTTATTAGGAAGTACAAGGACTGCTGCCCTCAGTACTTAATGGGATGGTACAGACAACGCTAGAGGTAACTGACACAAGTAGGAAAATTGAAAATTCTGATTAGATCCAAGTTTAAAAAAATCACTGAGGATGATTAAACAGTGGAACTATGCTCAACTTCAAAGCGCCTTGACCAGATTCAGATTTTTACAGGCACTTCTGCTTGAATTCACAGACACTGGTTTCCTGAAACCAATTCCAGGATCAGCATTTATCTACCCATCTCCAAATCAAGGTCACACTCTCCCCCCCTTCTTTACCCTCTTCTAGTAACCTTACACTGCTGATCTCAGAACTGCTTTCAGTGCCAGCCAGTGCTTTTGGCATCTCGTAAGACTTGCAGTAGGTGATTTCCTGCTGTGTCTACTGACTCATAACTAACTATAGTTTCATTACGGCATTCGTCTTAGATTTATCCCATTTCAAATGACACAAGAGCTGCTCAAAATTTCTTTAGTCCACCCTTGGCAGAATCTTTCCAGAGTTCAGCCTTCTTTTCTTCGGTTTTAGTTGAACTTCTGCTGTAACCCAGTTTCTTCCTTCATCTGCCAACCTTTTCTATTATTTAGCTTCTCATTACTTCTAACTGCAAAGGGATTCCCAATTCAGGTAGTAAATAGCATGTTCCACATGACAGGATATGTAACATGACATGCTTTTGATGGAATATTCCTATATATATATATGCTACAAGCATAAGGCAAGGATGCAGCAGGCAACAGCTTTTCCAGTAGACTCTATACTTTTCTCATTGTTGACTTTCCCATGCTACTCTCCTGTGGGATCTGCTGGATACAAGGCACATCACTTCAAATTCTCCATACTGAAGAAATTCCCTCTGAATAAAACTGAGGCCTGCTATTCATGACATACTTCCCAAACGCACCTTTAACCTGTGAACCACACTTCTGTCAAACATACAACAGCATCTATCACCTACAAATTGGCGTAGAATATTTATCACAAGGCTATTATCTTTCACAAACTCGTCCTCTTGCTATGCTGTACAGGGTATTTAACACCAGTTTCTCATCATTAGTATGTAACTACTAATGATGGGGAAATAGGCAGGGGACGGTATATTTGCAGGCATTCTCCAGCATGGATCTGCTAGTACACACAGGCGGTTGCTTCTATAATAAAGCTAATCTCAGTCCTGTTCTCTATACTCATAGCAAAATCAGTATAAAAACATCCAGAACTGTGTTTATAAGTGGTTCGTACTGAAAGGTATTGCAGAGAGTAGTCCAGGACTGAAAAATTCAGCAAAAATGTCCCACTACTGCCGCAAAGAAAGAGACAGAATTTGATTAAGAGAATTTGTCCTATATTTTGCTAAAGCTCCAGGAATAACAGCAGTAAAAATAAGCATAAAACTGCTACTGCAAATTCTCCCTATGAAAGATTTTACCTGTTATTAATGCTGACAAATCTGACAAAAGACAGGAGAAATTATTTAAGGAAAAAAACACCACAACCAAAATATCTTTCAAACTTTTTTTTCAACATGAAAGACATATACACAGAAAGCACTGTAATTTCATCAGTAGGTGTGATGGGATCCTTTATGCAAGTGACATCAGAAAGAAAGGCCTGGAATACACTGAATAAGAGCTAATGTAGAAGCACAAGCGTCTGAGGAAGAAGATACAGAACATGCATAAAGTAGGGGTGTCCACATAACAAAATAACTCTTCCTCCTACACTACCATTTACAGAACGCCTAAATTTATCTGTGAAAGCAGCCCTGAATTTTGTGCCTCATTTACACTAGACTGTGTTGTCACCTTTCAGTTGATCCATTTAGATTTTGATTGAGCAGAAATGCATCCAGTACAGCAAATTTGCTTTTCAATATTATGAGCACCAGAAACAGTGCAAGTTTTAATTGAAACAATTGTGTAAGTCACGATCACATCAGACAAAAGCAGACCTAGACTAGTGACACATTAGTATGATGCCTTACAATGAACACATCGAATTGCAACATGCTGAATGAAATCATGGTGAAAAAAATTAGTCTGCTGTGTCCTTCTCTACAGCTGCTCCCATCCTGCCTTGTTTGTCTTGGGTAATTGTTTTCATTAAGCTGTCCTGCATCACCAGCTCTTCAATCTGAGTTACACTGGAGGGTGCAAAAGCAGCAGCAAATGGCTATGCCATTCCGGTAGTTGCTGCCTTTGAAGACACGGGCCAGCTGTCAAAGCAAGCAGCAGATGCTTTCTGAAGAACTCTCATCCCCTTCCCCAGCACATATTTCACTGCTGCTGTTTTCAGCTGCAGTGTGAAAAGTGGCTTACCTCAGCTGGCCTGTAACTAACCCAAAGAAAAGAACAGACTTCTTTTTAATTGATATGTGTAGGGAAAAACATCTCATACATAAGTATCCAAGTTAGCTTCCAGGAACCTAGTACACAGCCTGCAGAAAACAGGACTACAGCTAATTCTCTTTCTTGCAAATTTCTTAAATTATCTTCATACTAACCTACTACCAAACAATAATTATTAAGTTTCCTGAAATGATTCAAGCTCAGTACCAGTGTCTGAGCCACCTAGTTTAGTTGAATTACTTAACAGAACAATCATCAGATGTTTTTTCTCCATCTGACAGATGTCATTTAGTATATGATGGGAAGATATATGTACATATATGAAAAACAAATCGTGATCTTGCTACAGCATTTGATTAGGTTATCAAGACACTGTCATCTAATGAAATGGCCATCTATAGACTTGTTTCTATTACCAGTTTCAATTATACCCACAAGCTTCATTGAATCCACTGTTCTCATGGGAATTTATTATTAAGTTTCTATATTTACAGCAGTCTACTTAGCTGTTGTCTTTGAAGCTGCTCTGACAAGAGTGTCTCCAAGAAATAAATATACTGCAAATAGTCACTGCCATCTTTTAAAACACAGCAAGGTTTCACTACTTTTTAAAAAAATCATTAACTTGAAGGAGCTTAAAAATCAAAACATGATATGGTAGATCAAGCATCTGTGTTTATAAGCAATTAAATTAAAGAAAAAACTGATGATTCAGTGTATAGGTTAGCTTCTTCATAACTATGGAATCAAAGTCCCCACTCACTTCTGCTATTAATGCCATAATGATTCTCTAACAGTACACATTTAAAAATCACTTCATACATGGTCTTGCTCTTGTTAGTTTTTGTTTGGCTTGTCTTTCTGGTAAAGAAAAGGATGACCTGATAACAAATTTATTAAACTGATGTTACCTAGGTAATATTTTAGGTATTTTTTAAGAGGTCCTCAGGTGGGGAAGAGGTCTCCAAAAAAGACTGACAGGAAAGCATGTTCTGAAGTTGTACAGAATGGTGCAGAAAATGCTCCAGATTCTTTTCTGATCAGTCTGGCTTCGCAGTGCAAGGAGCCCTGAGTCATTTCCACAGAGCTGACACAACAAATACTTCACGATCCTTTCTCTACTTATGTCCGGAAGCCCCCCATCTGAGAATGGAGCATGCTGTATGTTAATGGCTACTTCAGCAACCATTTTGAAAGTAGGAGGCTGAAGAGTTCTTCAGAATATTAAGAACAGTGTGTTAACACCAAAATAAGACCTCATATGGACCTCAAGACTAGACCACCACTTTTTTTTTTTTTCCCCCCAACAGTATGCAATTGTTTCTGTAAATTTGTTTATCCTTTAAGTGTTCTGTAAGGCTCAAGGGCAGCAGAAGGGGCAAATGCACTTTTAAACAACACTGTAAATACTGTCCAGCATTCAGTACTGATTTTATATTTCTACCTTATTCTTAAACTTTCTCAGTGCAATCTTCCAATGGCAAAAATACCCCTTTGTTACAATTTTTAGAAAAGCACCTTCAACTGGGGATATAAATAGATGTGATATGAACAAGTAAACTGCCATTGACCTGTACTACAAGTCAGATCTTTTAGACTTGACAATTACGTAAAACTGTCTGTCTCAGCGGTAACCAGACTCTAGTTGCACCTGTCAGTACAACCAAACCATTAGGATTTCCACTTCATTAGAGACTTCATGGTTATAGTGACAATAGATTGCTCTTCAGATCACTGAAAATGATCCATTCACATAAGTATTTACAATATTTCTACACACTGACTTGAGCAACTAAAAAACATCTGTATGACAGCTCATCAGTAAGTAAAAAACACACAAGAAAATCCATACCTTTCAAGCACTACAGGTACTAGAATCTCTCATAATTCATTTTATCACAAATAATAAAATTTTAAAGGTACGTATGTTACAGGCATCAGCAGGGGTAACGGTTACCTCACTTTAAAAAGGCTAAATGTTCTTTTATATTAATAAACTTTAATAACAGCATATTTTTCTGCAGATCTTGGGATTTCACGTGCCCTGACCTTTTACCATAAGTTAAAGACAATAACAATAGGAAAGAAAAAAACCTCAAGTTATGCACTTACTTATTCAATGTGAGGTCAAGGATGAATTTGGAGCCAAAGGCCTCAATCTGGAAACTTGCCTGGGCCAGATGTACAGCCTGTAAACATGAACAGACAGGAGTACCATACGGTTTTGCAGAACATTTAAAGTTGTCAGAAGAAACACTGAGCTTTATATGCAATAAATGTGACAAACACCTGTGAAACACAGATATGGAAAACATGCTTATTTTATGAATCTCACAGGCACATGAAAAGCTTTGCCCTTGTACCAAATTCTGATTCAAAAGGATTTGTGTTTTTAGAGGGTAAAGGAAGAAAGACGAAAATGGTACCTGAAAAGCATGTTTTCAAATACACACTTGTTGCTCACACAAACGGGGGGGGTGGGGGGAAAAAAAATCACATAAATGTCTATATTTTGCCATAACCAGATGGCTATGCAACAAAAGCATAAATAATGTAGTAAACTGTTCTTTTAATTGCGTTACTGCACTCATTCACTTTAGAAGGCCTAAAATAAGCATTTGTAATACACGCCTTCAAATATGAAAATCACGGCAAGGCTTGTAATACATGTTACGAAAGACTGCTTCAAAGTAATCCCTTCACAACTAAAGGCTTTGTACTAAGCACTGTAGCCAAAACAGAAGACTGCTGCTCAACATACAAAAAAACCCCCAAACATTAGCTTATCTCAATACAGGAGTTAAAGAACATCCTGAAATTTAAAGTTATCAGATACATATTCCTTATTCTTTTCTAGAAATATAAGGAGAAGGTAAGAGATGATCCAAGATTTTTTTTTGTGAAGACAATCTTCCAGCAGAGTGGAAGAGATTAGATCTGAATTTCATAGAACCTTTTCCCTGATAATGTCCTAATCAAATCATGCTTACTTATACACTAATTTGATACAGCATTCATAATTACATATTGGATTATCACTAAACCCTTTAATAAAGAGACAAAAAAAACCCTATTTTTTATTAAACACCACAATGAATCTTCACGTATGTCACAACAGACATATATAAAGTACTAGCTAGTTTACAGGATAACTTAAGTAATACAAAGGTTAGCTCTTATGGTCCACAAGGCCTACGGTTTTCTTCTCCTTTGGAAATTTTTCCACAAAGGGTAAATGCTTTATGTTCTTCCATTCTTGCACTACACAGAGCAGCACTGCTCTTCATCTTATTTCTCAGCAATGGTATCCATTATCTTTCATAAAGCCCTTCAATATAATTTTAGAAAGCTACTTCTAAAAGTTTCTATAGTGACTAAAATCAGCTGTGATGTTTCCTGTGTTAGTTTATCATTCTTTGTTCCCAGCATTGTAATTTTTCTTTCAACAGGGTCACAGAGCTTTGTTGTCAAGCTTCTTTAAGAAAGTGCATAGTTACAAAATATTTTAAGGATCTTTAATATCATTAAACCATGTCTTACCTAAAGCCTCTTTTTTGTTTATTAAAAGAATACGGTAACTTAAAACAAGAATTTTGAAAACAATATTCCTAGCTAACACCTAAAATAAAATGCAAGCAAACCAGCATCAAGCTTCCTCTCTGTTACGTTTTCTGGTAAACAAATATTTATGGTTGTCTCTCCACCAATTCACTGAGATAACACTGGCCTGGCACACCAAGTTTACAGCTGCTCTGAATCACCAAAGTAAAACAGTTGAAGCATAAAGACAAACAGGTGACTTGATGGAGAGAATCCACAAGGATGAATGTATATATATTTTAAAAGGCATAGAATCTCAGTTTAAACAAACGCCTATTAGGAGAGGCTTTTGCAGACCCTGCTCCAGACTTCTGAACAGCGAAACAAAGGAACAAGTGTCAGAAGGAGCTTTTCAAACAACTGTTTGAGACAGAAACCTCACCAGGTTTTCAACATGCACATGTATTAACTTAATTTTTTAAAAAAGAAGAAAACTTGTTTCAGAAAAGGACTGCAATTAGTTTTATCCCATAAAGATTCCACTTAGAGATACAGAAGCTGCTACTTTGAGTCTCCTTCACAGGTAACAGTTACCTAAAATTGCGTTTCTTCGGATATGCCATAAATAAGACTTCAATATTAACTATCTGGAAAGTTTAAAAAAGCATGTACTATTCTATTACCATGATTCTGAAACAGGAGAAATGAGAACTACAGAATTCCTTAAGGTAGAGAGTTTTCATTATGTTTTTTATATATACGTATATAATTCTGGAAGTTTTTCAAAATATCTCCTGCTCAAAGATAAACACAGTACTTCTGACTATACTGCATTTTTACATACAAACCATGAAGACCGAGTCTTTCCTTTAAGATAAAATTGTCATTTACAGATCCACGATATAACATTCCTGGCATACATAAAATGGCAAAAATTGACTGCCCAGTCAGGATTTATGCAGTGTAGTAAATCACTGACAATGTTTACAAGTTGTTGTAGAAAGCAGGACTAACTATCAGTGATCCCAAACACTATACTTAGCCAAATCAAGCAAAAAAGTAACATCAAAAGTGATTACATACTTTTTTCCAGGTTTAGTTTACAAATAAAACAAACACTTCCTTTTCAGTTTAATGTAAGTGCAGCGTTACTTTCATTTCTCCTAACAGACTACACATTACTTAAAACATGTATTCTTTGAAACACTTTTTAGAACAAGAGCAGCATCAAGGCTAAATAATCACCTGCAAGAGTGATACCTAATTATTTTGTTTCCCACTTTCAATTTTTTTTTCGTCACTACTGTTGTTCTGACTGCCAATTCCAAACCAACTAAATAAGCCAAACCCTTTAATATCTTTCTTTTTGAAAAGATTCAAGCTACTTAACTGATTAAGAAAATGCTTAAGTATGGAGGATGACATGCCACCTCAAATAATAAAACACACCAGAAAAAAATCATGGTGTGCTGAAACACACCAAAATCCTGAAAATTCAGCACAAGTCATCACAGCTACTAAAAATATACATGTATAAAATACACCTTGGATAACCTCAAGATCTGGAACTCCCATCAAGGGCCATTAAATTTAAACAACGTTCCGGTTCCCCCAAGATCCTGAGCCACAAATCGCTGGAGTTTGTGAGACCAGTCTAGGAAGTAGCCCTCCCATGAATGTTATGCTCCTATATCCCTCCTGAGGCATCAACTACTGACTGCTCTCCAGAGACAGCTAGACAGGCATCTAGTCTGGTCTGCTACATCTTTTGGCCAATAAGACCGACCATTCAGTGATACACGTATGTCATCCTTTAAGACTCCAAGTCATCAACCACCTATTATTTCTTTCTGCATAAGAAAAAGTTCATCTTGTAGGATTCGATATATCATTGGTATTTCTCAAGACAATTACTTCTGTACGCCCATGGCAGGGGGGTTGAAACTGGATGAGTTTTAAGATCCCTTCCAACCTAAACCATTCTGTAAGAACACCCCTTGCTGTCTATTACTGTGCCTCACTTCACAGATGTAGCCCATACACACAAGCAATTGCTGCAAAGCAGCTGACACTGGTTTGCTACCCTGCCGTAGGGCATGTTCTCCCCCAGACTCAGCTCAAACACTGGATTTTAAATGCCTGCAGTTTAACAAACTGTTGTTTTTAATTCAGGTGAGTGTGATAGACCACTGCTGCAGCAAAATACAGATTTTGTTAAGCCAGTTTAATAATCAGTGACCACCCATGAAAGCCATAAACCAGAAAACAGGTGAAGGTAATAAGACTAAAGGTAATTAATCTGGAACACATTCTTCTTCTAAGAAGTTAGGACATAAAGCTGTTCGTGAGTTGTCACCAGGTGTTTTAGCCGTTACCACCCTCATGTATCACCAAGATGGAAGTATTTCAGAAATATTTCATTTTTTTGTTATACTGCTTATCATTTCACAGTATTCCCTTATCAGCTACAGTGTAATACAATGCCTGAAGTATAATCTGAAATAGTGTTCTTCTGATTAACACAGAAATATAAATTCAAATAAGAATATAATGTAGATTAGCATTTATTTTGAAGAACATACATGGGCTAGATATCTTACCATGTCGTTTCACAGGAAAAATATTAAACATCAGCTTCATGTACCACTTGGTACATGTTTGTTTATCGCTTAAAAACCTCTGCAGAGGTTCCTGCTTTGACAGCTGTAAGTGACTCCAACAGCAAAGCTACAAAATTACATTAAGTGTTGCTGCTGCAGAGACTTACTGATGATATATAGAGGAGCAGGTTGAAGGTCTGAGTGTTTAAAATTTTTCTTGCCCCAAACCTAAACTTCGGGAGGGGAGGGGAAAGACTTTTAACACTGTCTGGAAGCTCAGATTACTAGCAGAGTCACTATAATAAGATTTTTCATTCTAGAGACTAAGAGTGCTGTAGCTGCCTGTGCAAAGTAGCTCTTTGGGGTTTTTTCCAAGCTAAAAATCCATACACATAAAGAATTCCAGTTTCTTTCAAATCAGTCATCAGCTTGCTGCAAGTTTCAAGATAAAAACAGACTAAAAGGCTGTAACTGGAATCTCAGTGATCCATGTCACAACTTGAACGCTTTCATTGTTTTTATTACTGCGCTTGGGCATCATTTGTCCATAATTTTTCCTAGACATTCAGGAATTTTACAACCATCATCACCGAAAGTACTATACTGCTTTTGCTTTCTTCACAGTAAAACTATGCCAGATGCAATCATGTGTTATCCCTTCAAAGCTACTAAGTTCTGTCACAAGTCTTTAAACAAAAGTGTTGTTTAACTGACTGCTAGTACCTATGGGTCTTTTACTATTTTCAAACAGAAACTATCTCCAAATGACAAGCTCATTGCTTTTAGAAATCTATTTTTGCATGTAGATCTGCTGACTAAAATAATGGCCAAAAGCTGCCTCTCATTTCAGCAGCTGAGCAAGGGGTTTCATCACTCCCATTTTAGAATTAGAAACCTAAGTCAGATTTAGATGGATTTTACACCATTACAATTATTTTTTGATCTCTGTCTCAAATCAATGTGACTTACTATATATAAATTCCTTATTCTTCTTTTAGCTTGTTTGCCTATCTTCAAACTTCATACAGAAGCCATCCATAGTGTTTGGA